TAGTTGTAGGATCTCTCCAGGAAGTTTAGGTGATGGTTGTTGTAGTTGTTGTACCATTAACTTACTGTGTCTGAGCTTCGGTAGATTTTGCCAGTGGTGTTAGGTTTTTGAGGTTTTCCAAGCATTCCTAGACAAGCTTGGATTTTATTTCGCTGCTGTTGAGTGCTTTAATCGACGATTGACTATCTGAGTAGATAAGGATGTTTTCACCTGTGTATCTCCTCCTTAGGTTTTCTCTCAGACAGGAGTCGATTGCATAGATTTCTGCTCAGAATACAGTGGTGTATGGGTTTCGTGCGGCACGTGACCACATTAGAGGTAATATAACCGAAAAATTAGTGTATCTATGATATTTCGCAGTCTTACCCTCCTAATACTTTGAAAAATTGTTTCTAATTGAAATATAATTCACTTTCTAGGATAGTATATGTAGACTAGGGCCGTGGTAGGATGTAAAAACAATGCCCCCGAATATACAGTATGAACGTAAATAAATGTCTTTATATAAATTCATTCAACCTAAAATATCTACAGCACATCATGGCTTTATGCCAGGCAGTTCTACGAAGAGTCCCCTTTGTGTGTTTACAGAGTCCGCTGCAAATGTAATTGAACATGGTGAACAGCTGGACACTGTGTACACTGACCTGTCTAAGGCATTTGATAAGGTAGACACCATGGATTATTATTAGATAATTTACTATTTTATAAGTTTTATAAAGAAACATAGATATTTCTAAAATCGTACCTGCTTAATAGGCCAAACTTTGTAAAGGTTCGCAAACAATTTTCAAACCAATTTACTACCACATCTGGAGTACCCCAGGAAAGTAACCTGAAGTCTCTCTCCTTTATGATATTTATCAACTCACTTTGAGGTTGTCAAATACCCTTCGGCTTTGTGTATGCATATGATCTCAAGATTTTTAAGTCAGTCTCAGATCACAACGACACCGTTTTGTTACAGACTGATTTAGATGCTGTGACAGATTGGTGTCTTGACACCACAGTTTCTATCAATATTGAAATAGTTATTTATCTAAAAGCGTTTGGTTATGACGTTTTTACATAACCATTTTTCTATACCATTTCCAGGATTATTTCACACTTGTGAAATTTGATTTCAAATTAATGAAAACTAAATTCACATTAGTGAAATCTAATTTCGCTCAAATGAAAATTGATTTCAAAGTAACGAAAACTAATTTCTCACAAACGAAATTTGATTTCACATTTTTGAAAATGAATTTCAAACTGACCCTAATTAATACTCATTTCTCAAACATTAGTTTAATTTGAAAAAACATCAACAAATGTTATTTATTTCACCCTAATGAAATAAACCCAATGAGTTCACACAACATAAAATACAATCATGAAACAACTATAATAATTATAAATTATTTAAATAAATTGAACTTCAGTTGAGTCTTCTCACTCTTGAGATAGCTGCATACCTTTCCAGGTGATTTTCCAAGCTGAAGTTTAATTTATTTAAATAATTCATAATTATTATTGTTGTTTCATGATTGTATTTTATGTTATCTAAACTTAGTGGGTTTATTTCATTAGGTTGAAATAAATAAAGTTGTTGATGTTTTTTCAAAATTGAAATAATAAATGTTTGAAAACTGAGTATTAATTAGGGTCAGTTTGAAATTAATTTTCAAAAATGTGAAATCAAATTTCGTTTGTGAGAAATTAGTTTTCGTTACTTTGAAATCAATTTTCATTTGAGCGAAATTAGATTTCACTGATGTGAATTTAGTTTTCATTAATTTGAAATCAAATTTCACTAGTGTGAAATAATGCTGGAAATGGTATAGTATTTGAGTTACGTCATGAGACTCATAACACAACTAGTGGTGTTATGGACGAGGTTATGAGTCTATAACACAACTATTTTTGGTGATTTGACAAATGTCAAAGGTAAACCTGTAAAGGTAAAATGAAGGTAGACAACTATTAATGGAAAAAATAAATAATTGGAAAAATATGCTTATTTTTCGCTTTGTAGATAAAACGTTGTACATTACACATGCGTTTAAACATGATTACAAAACTCGTGTGATTAGAACGACTCGGTCTACGACCTCGTCGTTCTTATCCTTCACACTCGTTTTAGGTATGTAAAACAAAATAATGTTCATCATTTTTTGATATCTTACAGGTCAATGCGCCAAACATTGGAGAGTAGAAGAAGAGCACAGGCTGTCATATTTATTTTTTCTATTCTAAATAATTTAAGGTACAGAGAGTTTAATCTCATAAAATTTATTAAATTCAAAGTACCAAAAGTGAATCTGCGAATTTTAAATAAAGACGTCTTTGCACATAGGAGAAGAAGTATAATAATATCTCCTATAAATAGCATGCTACATAATTTGTAATGAATTTCTATTGAAGAATGACATTGACATGTTTAATATTCCACTACTACTTATAAATTGTCCCGAGACAGGTAATCATTAATCATTACAGTGTCTGCTTAGTTATCTTACTTATGTCTTCTGATCTTGTTGTTTGGAACAGAAAGCCTAGTACCTGTAGACAGTTTTTTTACTGGAATCTGTTTTTCGCTAATTTTAAGTACCTATAGTTTGTAAGTGTAATTTGAATAAAAATGTAATAACCAACCTGGTGTTTGTAAAGTTTTGAATAAATAAATAAATTGTTCTTGCCTAGAGAGCACAATGGCTAAAAATTCTCCAGCAAAACCAGCTATATTGGTTCTAATTCGCTACAGTTTCCAAAGCAAGGATCCATCAAAAACCACGGACTAAAAGACTTCGCTGAGATCATTCCAAGGAAAATATTGAACTGGTTTATCGATGAGGATCTTGACCATGTTCTCAAGAGCTTGGAATAACAACGTTATTTTGAGATTTATACCAAGAGAATCTAAAAATATTTTCATAACATGTCCAGGGGAAGCTCCTCTTCTGTGCAAACATTCCCCAAGGTCCTTATTCTTGAAACAGGGAAGCAGCATCCCCACAGGAGAACGAGTATTCCATCTATCTCACTGATATGCAACTGATAATATAAGTAACAAAGACGGAACACTTGAATGGGCATTAAATACATTCGAACCTCTTAAATCGCCGGGAGTGGACGATATCTTTCCAGCACTCCTACAAAGAGGAAAAACAGAGATCATGCCACACCTTGTAGATATAACCAGAAGCAGTCTGGCAATGCAACATATACCTAAAATATGGAGAAGGGCAGCAGTCACTTTCAATCCTAAGGCACCCAAGAAAGATGGGACAGACCCCAAATCCTTCACACCAATGAGCCAAGACGATGGAAAAGGCAGTAGATAACTATATCAGCTTCACTACTTTAGAAAGGTAGCCTTTGAACACAAGTCAGCATGTTTACTGAGGTAGGTCCATTGAGACTGCTCTGTTTCAACTGATGAGCATGATACGAGAAATTCTAGATGAGAAAAGATTCGCATCATGCGCCTTCCTAAACATCGCTGGTGCCTTTGACAACACATCCCATGTGGTCATTCGGAGAACACTAACGAGAAGGAGAGTCAACCAACGACACAATATCTCGATGGATGTGTAAGATGCTCGCCACGAGGACAGCAGATACTTCAGTAGATACTGAAGCTATTGAGGTAAACACCACAAACTACGGATCTTGAGATGGATGTACACCATGATAGTTAGAACATCCCTATTATATGGATCTATACTGGTTCAAGGAAGGAAGACAATTGTAAGTCTCACACCTCTTCACATCGTGGTAGATGGGGCTGCTAGACGAGCAATAACTAGAATCACGAGAGAGGAAGCTGGCGAGGGAGGAGTGTAAGAATACCCCCAATTCATTCATTCATTAATTAATTAATCATAACCATTGATTGATAAAGAGCTCAAATTGTTTAAACTTCCACAGAAGTCAATTTACGCTCAGAGATATTTAGAAAATAACCATACTACATGACGAAAAAAACTTATCATGGGATACGAAAACATAGTAGACACTTTATTCTTCATTCACGAAGAAATTGAGTTTTACCTAAAAAAATGTTTCAGGTTACTTGATTCACTGAAAATATTTTTCTGTCTGTCTCAATAATTCAATCATTCGTCAAGTTTCAGAATCACTTAGATTCATTAGATTTACTCTGTAAAATCAACCTTGGATCTCAATAATGCAAAACAAACCATAAGGAATCAGCCATTTTCAGTAAATAATCTGATCTTGACTATATCTGACGCTTTGATCTAGCCTTGTACCGGTATTACGCGTATTTGTAACATTTATGTGGATTTGCATTGAAGTCTAATTATGTTGCACCGCTGTCTACAGAATTACACAAAAAAAAAACTTTTTTGTTTTTCTATTAACTCTGATTCTATGGACCCTTCAGTAAATAAAGACGTCATATTTCATATTTAGGGCGCATCATAATCATAACCAAGTCACTTGAAAAAATTAAAAGGGTTGTCTGTTCAGGGGTGGCCCTAGTTAAAAAAGCAAAAATGCATAAGGTGAAATGCAACTATGAGTACGTTCCTGTTCTGTTTTAACGTATTCATGTCTAATCCCCATATATCTAAAACTAGGGTACATGTTTATGTTAACTTTCATTGTGCGACGTGTCAAAAAAGAGTTAATTATGTGCCCCGTCCCCGATTGTGGGATACAAAATTGCTGTTAACAGAAAAACAAGACCGACGTCTTCCAGGTCAATTTACACGCAAGGGCCGTATTGTTGAAGTGCGGCTTTGTACGGATAATTGCTCCATTTCAACCCAAGGGAAGAATGGGAGTGGTTGATGTCGTACTGGTTTTGATTTTATAAATACGTTTAATTAAATCTTATACAATAATGAGTAAATAGCCATTCTTACATAATAATATGAAGCATCATTTATTTAAAATATTTCGACTAATTAGGTTCGGAATTATTTAAATTCCAACAAAAGAAACCTTGCTCCAAAAAACTGTTGCCGCGCTTCCTTTCTAAGGTCCCGCCATCAGGCCATCATCGTCTTCACAAAGACCGATGATATTTCTTCAGAAGCAACAGCATTAATATCGTCCCTAATTGTACAATGCGCTACTAACGAGTCAATATAGTAGTGATAAATATCTTCAAAGGCAGATAAGCTACCGTTAATAAACAAAGCAGTCTATATGCATTATAGCTGAAGAATAGCGGACGTGATTATTATAAATGTGTGTTTTGTGTGTGCATATTGTTGAAATTGCGAATTTTTTTCTCAAATTTTGAAATACAGAATATTATTATAAATTGTTCATAAGAGCTATTAGAGAGTTCACTTTTCATGAGTCATGAGTCATATACCGGGTGGGGCACGAAAAACTTTCCACCTAGGTTTTCTCAGGTGTTAGGTGTTCAATCAAAAATCGCTCAGACATGTCAATTTTTGTTTTTTGGGGGACACATTTTATTGGTATTTTCACCCCCTACCTGTGAACCCCTAAGTGGGGGTGACAGGTACCCACAAAATTTCAAATGAAAAGGGGGGTCGAGTGATACGTCATTTGATAGCTATTTTCATTAAGATTATATCAATGAATTGTCAAAGTAAGGAAAAATCAATGGAAAAATGCTGTGTGGTTTTTACCTGTTAGCATAGGTGTGACAGGTAAAAACTATATAGTTTAGATTATCGAATGTAATACCACAAGAGATTTCAGGATTACCGGATAATACTTTTACCTGTCACGAAATGCGTTACGCAGCAACACCACGACTCCGAAGGAGGAGTGGTGTTGCTGGTAACGCGTTGAGTGTCAGGTAAAAGTATTAGGTAATCTTGAAACATCGAGTGGTATTCAAAAGGTTATACAACGAACTAAACTTCAATCCTTTATTAATTTTTATTATTATTATTAACAATATTGCCACCAAGCGCGATAATCCCAAAAGGCTTATCACTATCACAAAAATGGACGTGTCAGCGATTTTTGATTAAACACCTAACACCTGAGAAAACCTGGGTGGAAAGTTTTTCGTGCCCCACCCGGTATAATCTTTGGAAGAGTGAGGTTGCTAATGGTCATCTGAAAAAAAAAAGTTTTTGACTTGTAGTATAGTATAACATAGCTGGGTTCGTTCAGCAAGATTGAACGGTGTGAATTTTTATTATCTCTACTTTTAACAAATCTTTCAAAAAAAAAAAAGACGAAATGAATAACAAAAAGGACCCACGTTGTCGAAACTTACCCAATTTTACTTACTTGACATGCGCCCGGGGAAGTTGTGATATGTAAAATCAACGAAAAATTTCTGAAACGTCTAATTTATTACTCGTAAAATCGTACCGACTCGCGAAGGGAAATTGCACGGCAGAGAAACTCTCGATCTAACATACCTCAAAAATCAAAACATACTGTGTCATTTTAATAAATAATTGTGAGTCAATAATTCAATAAAAGTTTAAATCAGGTACCGTCCCTGTCCTTGTGCTAAAATTTTATCCACACACTACATTTAATCAGCACAAGGTACCTATATTCGATACTGAAGAGTTTTTGGTTAGTAAGCCAGTTCCACCAGCAGGTATTGAGGTCCCTGGTTACGGGAGGGTACTCAGCTATAGTTGTTATTATGAGCCAATATCTAGATTGATTTTTCAATTTGTTTGTCAGGATATTCGCTTGTCAGGGTTGGAAAATGTTAGTAGATTCAACAAGGCCCTAATGTACGCTCTGAATACCAAATCAAAATCCCAGCACATAATTTCTTAGGTTTTAATTTACATTTGATCTGCATTATTCACAGTATGAAACGATTTTTGTTAAATATATGAACAATGCACATGTTATAAACAATGTTATAAAAAAATAAAAAAATAAAAATAAAAAAATAATACTTGTATAAATTGAACTTTCAAAAACAAAATAACAATTGATGTGAATGCTCCTTATGACACATAAACTAATCACATATTGAATTGAACAATCAGTTTAATACAAAATAAAAATTGTATAATAAACAATGGCGGACAAGCAGTCTAAGTTACAAACTTCTTCCCTAGTCTCTCATTTTCTATCTCCTCTTCGGTACTTTCGTTTTCTGTGGCGCGCCACCTTTCCCAAAACTTCACAGCGCATACATGGTTGCGACTTTTACCATTTACTTTTTAAAATGTTAGGATTTGAAGAAATATTATTCCAAATAGCTGGTTTTCCTCAAACTACACACCAATATTGGCAGAAATTTTTCGGATCTCCAGTCAATGGTAACTATAATTAAATAGGTACATAAAGTTGACTTGGTGTATTTCTCAGTAAATTGAGAAAAAACTTATCGTTGATAAACTTAAAGGACGGTATTTCAATCTACATGATCACATAACAAAATTAGAAAATAAAGGGGTCAAAATCAAAAGACTGCAGATCAAAAACATAAAGACCGTATTCACGTTGCTTATCTTACAGCTAAATTATTATAGTAGGTAACTAATAATTACACTAGTTATCCTAATAACAGGAATAAAAGCATAATACTTGACTCTACCAACCCATCCGATATTTTTTCACGCTTTAACGTTAACTTCATGGTCATTTCTTGCCGATGGCGTTTGATTTAATTAAAGCTAAATAAATATTTAGAAAGATATTGAAGATTTTTTTTTTTCGAAACGTTTTAAATTGTGATATCATCTTGTTTGCTGATGCAAACAGCACTTACCTCATCTAGCGAGGAAGATCGATTTAATTGCCTTGATGCATCTATAATTTTTTCATTTAGGTGTTATTGTTGACAGGCAATTTTAGGAATTGAGTGTTGTTTGGTACAGTTTATACCTATAGCGGAAAGGACCATTGTTGTTTTTGAAGTACCGGCTATTAATTTTATTTGGTAAATGAGGAATCGATTTTTGTACAGACAAGGTTATGTTATTGTAAATTAAAAATTCCGTCGTGATAGGTAATTAATGGATCGAAGCTACTAATTGGATTGAATTTGATTTGTGTAGGAATCATTAATCATTTCACTATGGCTTGCAGATAATTTATTAATATCATTTGCAAATTATTAATATTTTTATAGATTGAATCTTTACCTAATCAACTATCTTTCATTGGATTTTCCTTTTCTTCTACGAGGTCGGACTTTGAGGAAAAATATTTTACATTGTTCAACACTGGTAATCATCTGAAATTCGCATCCTGTATGTCTCAACAGAAATTGAAAAAACACTATCAGCATTTACATTCATTGAAAATCTCTCTATCCGGATCTACTTCTTCAACCACTTGTGATCCAACTTTGGACATACGTCGCTCATAGCCTATGCCAAAGATTTCAAATATGTGCTGATTGTTTCCAGTTTAGTACACTGATCTTCTTGAGATATCATTCAATCGCGTTCAGTTTTGAATACTAGTGTTTCTGCTTTGCGTTATATCCCGGAATACTCTTATTCAACTTTGTGATGTAGTTCTTAGTATACTTCCGTTCTGCCTCTAATCCATTCATTGTCCTTTCGATCAACTAGATAATCTTATTTCTAGCACCAGAGGAGCATATCTGAAAATTTTTAATGCTGAATATTTGCTCATTATTGATGAATTACGATGACTAAGGAAGATCATACTGTTCACTTGAATTTCACAAAACTACAAAGGAGGAAGAGAAGAAGCCATTGCAGATAGCAGACACAAAGATTATGGAGCTGCAAGTGCATGACGAAGACATGGAGATGATTATGATGGTAATTTTGGATCTGACATGTGGAATCACGCAGCTTCAACAAAGTTGAGAACGTCGCACCTCTGGCGAAGCAGATGATCCTGGAACATGAAAATGAAAGAAAGTAATGTTATAATATTTAGATATTATAGGTGGCGCTGTTGGTCAATGTCTATTTTAGTTAAGGAGTCTGTGGCAACATTATTGTCAGTAGTTGACATCGTGGACAGATGATTATTGTTAGAATCGTTGTATTTACGTTTTGTAATTAATTTAATCTATATATATAAAAATTAATGCCACTTTTCGTTGTAATTTTATAACTCAAGAACGGGCTCACCTAGCCAAACCAAATGTTTAGGCTTTGTTCGGACTATTTATTAGATGGTTTGTGTGAATTTTGCACAAAATCGGTCGAGCGGTTCTTCATTTATCAAATTATTTGTAATAAATGAATTATTCAATAAATGGAGGATCATTTTGTTAATGGGGGTTTTGCTGTCAAATTGAAACATTTTTCAGCGTTGACAGTACCAGCATGTTATTATGTCATTAATGTGGTCATGTCATTACTTACTTTATTTATTTATGAAAAAAAATTACTAAGCCCGCATACGGCGCCATCTCTTATAACCGATACCAAGTTTATTTTGTATTTCGTATTTTGTATACCGCGCCATCTCTGATGCCTGGAACGAAGCTCGGCATTGCGGATACAGTAGAACAATGCTGCTCAGGAGCTGGAGCTGTTTCGAACAGAACTATTCCACTATTCCGATCAGATAGAGTGGTGCAGTAAGAGTAGATCAGATAGAGTAGTGCAGATAGAGTAGACCAGATGGAGTAGTGCAGTGCATGCAGTGCAGATAGAGTGAAACAGGGCTGCGCTAGAGATTTTTTTGTTTTCTTTACAATCTTTGAATATTACTGTGCCTGAGTTTATTTATTTGGTGGTACACTTTACAAGAATAATGCCCACAAGCTGCCTAAAAAAGGATGATGTAAAATTTTAATTTTAGGTGACTTCTGATCCAGAGAGTAAACATTAATTTTCTTCAACCAAAGCCAAATTCACCATCGAAAAAAACTGAATTTAATTCAGCTAATAGATACGTTAACACAACATTTAATAGGTATATTTAATAATTCAGAGGCGGTACGAAGTTCGCCGGGTCAGCTAGTAAATTTATAATTAGAGTTAAAAAACAAATTTCATTTCATAGATAAAACATGGCGCAGTCTATTAAGGCTTCAAATTTAGAAAAAGCTTGAATTTCTAGTTAAAAAATTGATATTTAAAGTTTGAAATAAAAGTGTGGTTAATTGTGGTGTGTCCCGGTAATGTGGGCTGAATAGTTTGATTATCGAACCGTAATTTTTACAAGTGGAAGTACTTACGGACTTAAATGTTCCAGTTTTTATTGTAAAATCAAAAATTTTGTAAAATGGATGTCCGATTACCAA